TGGGGTGTTTTTTACTTTTTCTGTCTTATTGCAACACAAGGCGGGGGGAAATAAAAGGAAAAGAGGGTTTATGTTGTCTGGGGCATTTGCAGCTGGGAAGCTCAGTGCTGCGAGAAGTCATTAAGCTCAATGACAGATTCTAATTTCTTTTAACGAGGATTAAAAAGAAATCCTGTCTGCTGCATGGGGATTACCCCCCAGCCTGAGGAGTTTGTTTCACCAATAAATTGATGGCCACAGAGATTCCTGTGGGGCTGTAGAGGCTTCTTCCATGCGTGGATACAGGCATCTTCTGGAGCCAGGTCCAACTTCCAACCTGTTTCTGGAATGAGAAGTTTGGAGGATACCCCCTTCCAGGCTTGGGACAGAGCCAAGATCTTTGTCCATCCAGCATCATGGTCCAAGTTTTGGGGTAAGCAGGGGGGAATTCCAGTGCGGGACGGTGATTGCTCACACGTGTCCTACCTGGAAGCATAGGCACAAGAGTCTGAACACGCTTGGACTCACCTAACATAAGACAAAGCTTCAAAGGAGGAGATCAACCCCAGGGTGGTTTGGTATCAAAAGCCACTCCTATGAGGAACCATGTTACTGGGGTTGAATTTCCCCCCCTCCACCCTCTTCCCTGTTGTTTTGGATGTCCCAACCTTTCCCCACCTAAACAGGCCACCTGTGGTAGGTGGGAGATGTCCTGTAGGAGATGTTTCTGCCCTTCTTTGCCTGGTGCTGCCCCAAATATGAGCTGGGAGATGAATCATTCATTGATGGCTTTGGAGGAGGGGTGAAAAGCTCTGCTCCTTGCTGAGCCCCTGCTCTTCTGGAGGGAATGATGGGGCATTGGAGAGGGTTAAAGGGCTGCACGGAGCCTGGGGAGAAGGTCTGGGCTGGAGACAGGTGGAGGGAAGTGTTGGAAATGTGATCCTGGATCTGGGCAGGGAAAAGAGCTTTGGCAAGGAGAAGGCGAGCAGAGCCAGAGCGGCTGGGGAGGAGGAGGAGGAGGGAAAGTGATCGGTGGGTGCCCAGGATAGATGCAATGGGGGAGGGGAAGGAATGGTAAGTGAGATGGGGCGGAGGGTGACAGAGGGGACAAATGGGGCAACCGAGGGGTGGGAAGGAGCAGGAGCTTGAGTGGTGCAGAAATGTCGGAGGTGTCCAGGGCTCGGGCTGGTTTCCTTCGCCAGAGCACGGCAGAGCGACTGCCGCGGGCTGCGTCCCGCTGGGACCCCTCGGCTACCCGGCTCGTCTCCCACCTGCCCCCCGCTAGCACCCTCCCCGTGCAGAAGGTGGGGCGATTCGGGAGGATGACCCTTTCCTACACCTCTGCTCCGAGGTACGCGGGGGCAGCTGGAGGGTGGGGGGGGCATAGGGAGGGCAATGGGATGCGCTTGTCCATCTGTCCGGAGGTCGTCTGTCCTTTTTTTTCCCCTATACCCACCTCGTTTCGTTTGCCTGCTTTTCCTGCCAGGCTGCCCATTTTCCCTGTTTCCCTTTGCTATTTACGCATCTCTGAGTAGCACGGGGATTTCTCGCCGGCTCGTTGCCCGCTGGCTTGCTGGCCATTGGCTTGTTGGCCCCCGCCTCTTCCTTTCCGCAGAGGTGCGATGAAAAACGTACGCGTGGTGTAGGGGGAAAATCTATAGCGTGTGTTTATTTACAGCTCGAGAGGAATGGGAAGTGGAAGAGAAAGCACTTTCCCTTCCATAGGGCGTGGGTATAAATAGATATCGATGTATATGAGTGGGGGTAGGTAGGTGAATACGCACAGTGGTGGAAACGATGGCCAGCAGAAAAATTCCTCTGCTGTAGGGAGCTGCACACGTGTAAATGGATTTATACTGTGTATATGGGAGTATCCCAGAATCCCAGCATGGCCAGGGTTGGAAGGGGCCTCGGGAGCTCACCCAGCCCAACCCCCCCACTCAAGCAGGCTCACCCAGAGCAGGGGGCACAGGACAGCAGCCAGGCGGGGGTTGAAGATCTCCAGAGAAGGAGACTCCACAGCCCCCCTGGGCAGCCTGGGCCAGGGCTCGGGCACCCTCACAGTCAACAAGTTCTTCCTCCCATTCCACTGGAACCTCTTGTGCTTCAGTTTGTGCCCATGGCCCCTTGTCCTGGCGCTGGGCGCCACTGGGAAGAGTCTGGCTCCATCCTCGTGACACCCACCCTAAGTGATGAGATCCCCTCTCAGCCTTCTCTTCTCCAGGCTAGAGCAGAGGTGGAGGAGAACCTCCCTGGCCCTGCTGGCCATGCTCCTCTTGATGCACCCCAGGATGCCGTTGGCCTTCTTGGCCACCAGGGCACCCTGCTGGCTCATGGCCACCATGTTGTCCACCAGGATGCCCAGTTCCCTCTGGGCAGAGCTGCTTCCCAGCAGCTCAGCCCCCAGCCTGTGCATGGGGTATATGTGTGTCCACATGCATGCACCTGTATGTATAGGCCTGTGTGTGAATATATACATATAAATATAAATATATATATATATATTCTGCTATTTGCCTGAGTCATTTTTCTGTGTTCTTCCCAATCACAAACTAACCTGGCTTGTAGCAAAGCACTGGTTTTCTGATTTTATTTTTCCCATGAGGAAATGAAGGATTCCCTTCCAAGGCCGGGACTGTATTTAAACCAACCTGTTGGCAATTAAACTGACATGTTAATGGCTGGACTTGATGATCTTAAAGGTCTTTTCCAACCTAAATGATTCCATGATTCTATGAGCTGAATAAAAACTCATTTCCAGTCCCAAATGAACCAGGCTGGCTTTAGCCATAAATGCATGCCTGGAGCCTGACGCTCCCGTTTAGTGGATGCCAGAAAGTGCAAATGACGGAGAAGTTTTTAAAGTTATGAGAGAGGCTCAAGAGGAGGGCGGTTGCCCCTCTGTTAAAGAATTTCATGAGTCTCTGGGTTTGCCTTTATTCGCAGCTCAGTGTTGGGCCCTCACCTCAGTGAGTGGCCAATGGAAACCACAAGCACAACACTTTTATATCCTTCTATCACAATTGGATAAAGAGTTTCCATGGTGTTCACAATTCCTCATCAGTCCAGCCAGCTGCAAGTCCATTGTGTCCCACACGTTAGTGTATTTGCAACGTTCTGTCTCAGTTCTGCTTTTCGATCACGAAGTCCATTGGCTCATCCATCAAAAAGTCTTCTCCCAGCCACCACCGTGAACTCAAGGCAGAAGCATAAAAACTTAATCATAGAATCCTAGAATGGTTTGGGTTGGAAGGGACCCCTAGAGCTCACAGAATCATGGAATGGTTTGGGTTGGAAGGGACCCCCAGAGATCACCCAGCCCAACCCCCCTGCAGGAGCAGGGCCATCTCCAACCACATCAGGTTGCCCACAGCCCCGGCCAACCTGGCCTGGGATGTTCCCAGGGATGGGGCCTCCACCCCCTCTCTGGGCAATCCCCTGCCAGGGTTTCGCCACCCTCAGGGTCAAGAAGTTCTTCCTCATCTCCAGTCTAAACCTGCCCTGGTTTGGTTTAAAACCATCCCCCCTTGGCCTGTCACAGCTGGCCCTGCTAAAAAGATTGTCCCCGCATTTCCTATGCACCCCCTGGAAGCCCTGCAAGGCCGCACTCAGCTCTTGCCTGAACCTTCTCTTCTCCAGGCTGAACACCCCCAACTCTCCCAGCCTGTCCCCGCAGCAGAGGGGCTCTAGCCCTTGGATCATTTTGGTCGCCCTCCTCTGGCCCCGCTCCAACAGGTCCATGCCCTCCTTGTGCTGAGGGCTCCAGAGCTGGATGTCTAACCTCTCCTCTATTCATCTGGGCCTACTTTAATTATTCTGTCTACATTGTGGTTTAAGATCGACTGATCTGATTGTCTTAAAGTCTTACCTTCATCTCTCTTTATCTACTGATTAACTCAGCTGGTGATCAGTCCAGCCATGGAGGGGGGCTATACAAGGGACACGGTGAGCAGTAGACCGTGGGCTGTTGAGTTTCTGCTTGCACACCTGCATCTTGGTTGCATCCAGAAGTCAACATCTTCATACAATGTCCACAAGCTGATTAATGAAACCAAGCAAAAGCAAAACCTACTCCTTCCTTTGTCACCCCCTCCTCAGCGTTCTTCCCCAATTTCCAAGGTATCGGGATGAACACAACCCCTACTACAAACCAGAAACCCTTTGTGAACACCATCAAGACTAATTTTGCTAATAAAATGCCTCCAGTACAACTGCTGGGGTTGGGATTTGTCTCCTCTTAGCTCCAGCTGTCTCCAAGGGAAAGATCTCAACTGGGGGATGTCAGATCAACCCAGCTGACCTTGCCAGCCACATTTATGGATAGGACCACTTGAGCTGTTTCTCAAGTCCTCATTAGGAGAAGACAAATCGCATTTCTCTGTTGATGGCAATGTGTCCCCCCGCCATAACGAGCTTTGGTGAGCTGCTCAGGTGGAGATGACCATATCACAGGCAAACTCCAGCCAAGGAGGGTCCTCGTCTATTAATTGCCATTCCCAATCAATGCAAGACCTCCAAAGCCACACAAAATGGTCTTGGAAGGCAAAAAAAAAAGGGGGTTTTGAGGTGCAGGACCCCGATCCAGAGGTTAATCTTTCTGGATGTGGGAAGCTCCCAAAAAAAATTCTTGACTTTGCATCCACGCATATTCCCTTTCTCCTGTTGCTTTTTATGGCCCCCATTGAGCCCTGGAGCTCAACCAAGTCATCTGAGTCCCTCAGCTGAAGCTTCCAGGGCGAAACAGGTCTTTAACAACAGCTCAGATGGTTACCTGGCCCAGAGCCTAGAGCAGCCGTTAAACGCCAGCCTGGGGCCTCAGATTTAGCGCTGGGTCAGCCAAAAAGCAATGAGACCTGGAGCGGGTGGCCATAGCCCAAACGATTTCCCTTTTCCCACCTCCCTCCTGGAAAAAAAAAATAAAAAAATCGTATCAGGGAGCCCAGGATTTGTGGGGGAGCAAAGGGAAGGGACCTTCCTCCTTTTCTGTCTCTTCTACCTATGTGTTGTCGCCTAACGCCGAGGTCTTTGTTGCCAGTTTAAAGAAACCGGACACTGCAGAAGTGACCTCGGGCAGCAGGCTCGTTCCTGGAAGAGGAACGCCCACTTGGGGCTGGATGCCAAGCATTCATGTTCCGTGTCCAGCCCCAGTGAAATCAGTCCTTGCCCACAGGAGAGAGGCCATGGCGGCCGTGTTTCTGCCCGGCAATCTCCAGGATGAAGCCACTTGCTCCGTCTGCCTGGAGTTCTTCAAAGACCCAGTGTCCATTGAGTGCGGGCACAACTTCTGCCGGGCGTGCATCATCAAGAGTTGGAAGGACCTAGAGATGGACTTCCCCTGCCCGCAGTGCCGAGAGGTCTTCCAGCAGAAGAGCTTCAGACCCAACCGGCAGCTGGCAAACATGTCCGAGATCATCAGCCAGTTCACCCTCCGTGGGGCCAAGGGTGCCGAGGAGGACGGGCTCTGCGCAAAACACAGGGAAGCCCTGAAGCTCTACTGCAAGGACGACCGGAGAACCATCTGCGTGGTGTGTGACAGGTCCCGGGAGCACCGGCCGCACGCCGTGGTACCCGTCGATGAGGCATCTGAGGAGTACAAGGTACCTTGTCTGTCTGTCTGTCCACCCTGAGGAAGAACCTCCCACCCCCCCCAAGGCCTTTCTGCCTCCTGGCGACACGCATCGCGTTGCGTGTTCGTGCTCGAGCGAGTCCCCGCGCCATCACCTGCCTTTCCCGGGCTCGGCCTCATGCTCAGCTTCCCTGCAAAGAACCGGTTGCTGCTTTCCAGCTTTCCGAAGACCTGGAAACTTGCCCCCCCAAGATACGCAAAACCCTCGCGTGACATCCCATTGCCTCGGCAGCCGGGGGGAGCGGGGGATTTAACACAGGGCCAGCCGCAAGGCGAGAGTTTCTCCTGCCCAAGCTCAGCAGGTTTGAGCCCCATGAGCATTGCGCTGCAAACACCACCTGCGGGCACCCACCTTATCAGTAGGGTAAGAGGCTGCAGAGCGAAACCCCCCCGACGTCTGTTTGAGGTCTGGGCGAGCGTCCAAAGATGAAGAGAAGTGGATGAAAGGCAGGAGCTTTACGTGGGCCAAACGGTGGGGGAGGTGGGAGCAGCAGCCGACAAAACGGGGGCCCGGGCCCTCCCCTGGCAACCC